ATCTCAAAACATGCACAAAAATAGCATCTGCATGTTCCCCTGTGCAGATTTAGGACACTAAGTGATCACCTAGAAATGAAAAACAAACACTTAACTCCTATCAAACATAATTAGCCAATATTTCAGCCTACTATAATAGCTCTATCCAGTATGGGTGTGTGTGCACTCAAAATAAACCAAACACACCTATCAAGCACCAAAACAGCAGCAGGAAACACACTTTTTCCAGTTCAATAGTCTCTCAGATCAAAGTCATTAGCAAAATGAACATGGACTTCAGAGCACATGGAAATGGCATCAATGTAAACACTTCCCTGCTGGCTTTAGTCCTGTGCCAAGCCCTGCCTGCCCCATCCCACAGATCCCAAGTGGGCGCTGCTGAAGTCACCAACACCTCCTGCAGGAAAACAAGGGCAGCTCCTTGCTCTGCTCAAGGTGTCAGTGACGTCAGCCCCGGAGCAAGGAAAAGCCATAGTGAACGCTTGGATCTCCGAGGGGGAAAAAAGTTTCCAGGTCACCTCAAGCTGAAAAGTGTAACAAAGGAACCATTCTGGTCTTGAGCAGGGATTTTTGGGCTGCTGCCAGGAAGAGAAGGAAATGAGCCCAGAATGTATTCTGAGGAGGAGCAAGATGTGCAAAGCTCAACTGGAAATCCCAAGGTTTCAGAGATTCTCCAGGCACCAGGCAGCCAGGGCTGAATTGAGGAAGCAGCTCCTGCTGCAGCTCCCTGAGAACAGAGCAGGTGACGCTGGACACCTGGGCTGGACCCTCCTACCTGAACACAACTTCTGCTGCCAGAGCAGCTTCAAGCCGAAGATCACAGCTCTGAGCAGTAAAATGGGGTGTAAATAACATCTGACTGGAAGAATTGCTTTATTTTCCACGTGGGAAAGAGACCCAGAGGAGCAGATTTAACTAGTTCATGCAACAGGCAGCATGGATTAGAATACCTGACGTGCCACTGATCCTAATCCCAAGGACGTTTCTACTCTTCCTCTGCTCCTTGCCAGCTCCAGCACTCCAGATCCTGTTCCATCACCACTTCCCACACATCCTCAGGATCTGCAAACCATCTCAAGGACGTCAGTCGGGCCGCAAATGCTGCAGGTAGGGCAGAGGAAGGCAGGACCGCCCCCTCTCAGTGGTGATGAAAGGCCAGGCTTACATGTGCAGTAAAAATGTGGATAAATAACCCTTCCCTGGTCATAATGCAAGAGCTCTGGCAGGGAATGGGTCTCTTACTCTGCTGGGACAGCATTGCTTAATTTTGGCTTTTTGAGCACAAGTGTAAAAAAAAAAGAAAATTAAATGAGGATAATGATAGAAAAATACCAGCGGGGTGCCACAACATCTTCATTAGCAACCCAAGAGAGGATGCAAACAGCAGGGAAATTAAATCTGCAGACAGTGCTAAACAGGGACTGGGTGACAGCAGTGAAAGGGCTGAGAGGTAATGGGAGAGTCATAGTGGGGACAGACCACAAAACCATGGAATCACAGACTGGATTAAGTTGGAAAGAACCTTAAAGCTCATCTCATTCCACCCCCTGCTATGGACAGGGACACCTTCCACTAGCCCAGGTTGATTCAAGCCCTGTCCAACGTGGCCTGGAACACTTCCAGAGATGGGGAAGCCCCAGCTTCTCTGGAAAACTTGTGCCAGGGCCTCACCTCCCTCACAGGGATCCGTTTCTTCCCAATATCCCATCTAACCCTGCCCTCTGGCAGTGGGAAACCATTTCCCCATGTCCGGGCACTCCTTGTCCCCAGTCCCTCTCCAGCTCTCCTGGAGCCCCTTCAGGCACTGGAGGGTACTCTGAGGCCTCCTCAGAGCCTTCTCTTCTCCAGGTGAGCACCCCCAGGATGAAGAAATACCAAGCTTCTGTGCATGCCAAAAAACACTGGATCACCATCAAAACACCATGAGCAAGCCAGGAGCTATTTCATCCTCAGGAGGTTGGTATAACCTGCAAGCAAGGTTCACCCTGCACTTGTGAAATGATTTCTTCTGGAACATGCAAGAGCCTCAAACAGGAGGTTGTGAGGAGGAGAGGTGTGAGTCAAAGCACAGCGCCTGGAAAAGCTCCACGAGAGCTCAGTCCCCGAGAGGTCTCTGCTCTGCTTCACCTCCCCTCGCCTGCTCACACATTCCTTGAAAATACCCATGTTTCTGCATGCCCTAAGTGGTGAAAAAGCATCATATTCCTTGCCTTGGTCCCTGAGATACAAGCAATCTTCACACACCAGGAAATGGCTGGATCACAGTACTGGTGCTGCTGATGAACTTGTGCTGAAACACCCATGTGAGCAACTGGAATTTCCTACTCCCAGCAAGACACTACTCAGATTTCTGAGCTGGTGCTGCACACTTTGTCATCATGCTGATATTTGCAATTAAATTCAGCCCAGCTTCCTTCAGATGCACTTGCTGCTCTTGAGAGCCCAAAAAACCAGGTATTTTCTCAGAAAGCAACTGCAGAAAGGCTCACATCTCTGGATTTTAGCTCACAAGCGAGGGAAATTACCACTACTTAAAGGAATCCTGGGAAAAACAGACAAAATCACCCTAACAAGGAGGAAATTAGGAGTTATGAGTAGTTTGCAATACGGGAGCAGCAAAAAGCCAGAGAAATACAACCCAGGAAATGCCTCAGCATTGAGGAGAAAGGGAAATCTGTCATTAACAGGTTGGATAATGGTGCTCCTGGAATACAGTGCTCTGCCTACTGTGCCTCTGCAGCCAAGCAGTGCCCAGAAACTGGGAGGGACTTCCAGAGAATGTGACTAATTCTTTAATGTGGCTAATTCATGGGAAGATTAAAGCTAGTTACCTACAGCACAACTTCCAGATCAGAGATGCTGTCCCAACCATTCTACCAATACCTGAAGAACACATCTACAAAGAGGAGGGATTGTGACAAAGAGAAAAATACTTGTAAGAGACCAAGATCTATTTCTCCACCACAGCAGGAGATGGACAGGAATCTCCACTGAAGCCCAAACTGCCAGTCAGTGGATGCTACAAAAGAAAATCCCTCCACCACAGGAGCTCCACACCAGCCTTGGTGCCCCTTCCTCTTGCTCTCCCAAGGCTTGCTCCCATACTAAGCCAAAAACTCCAGGAGGTTTCATGGTATCCCAGTCCCAAAGCTCCCTCTGCTGCTCATACTCTAACTCCTCTGCCTTCTTCTTGTGATTAAGAGACAGCCTCACCAGAAATACACTCCCTGTTTTTGCAGGCATCTCTCCCAGGTAAAAACCTCACAGGGTTTGGGAAAGCCAGAGGAGCACTTCCTGAACGACAGCCCCAACTCCTGCTGCCTCTCCAGCTCTTCACAGCAAGATCATGCTGTGAAGATCATCCTTCCCAAGGAACCCATCTATTCCACCTCACAAAATGGTCATGGCTCACTATCATGCCCTACATGGTTTGGTGATTCCCACCAGACCAAACTGGATACGCACAAGGGGCAGTGGAGTAAGCAGGGATGAGGTGGGATCAGAACAGCTGTGTTGTGCTTGGTGCCAAGTCCAGGTTTTGTAAGTCCATCAAACACACCCCAAGAAAAGTTCCTGCTGCAGATTTCGGGCATGGAGTCAGTCACAGCATCAGGCTCAGGTCTCAGAAGGTCTCTAGGCCAACCTCCCAACCAAAGCAGGGCCAACACTGAATTCAGGTGAGGCTGCCCACAGCTTTTTTCTCTTGGGTCTTGAAAATCTTCCCAGATGAAGACTGTTCAACCCATTGAGCAATGCCTGCCCCACTGCTGGGCCATCCTTATGGTAATTTGTTTCCTTAAGCCACATTGAACCCTCCCCTTTCAATTTATGACCCACCTGCCATGTATGTCAACACAGAGCCCGGCTCTGTCTCCCAATAATCTCCTTGAGGTAGTGGAAGACTTCTCTGTCTCCTGCCTCTCCTCACAGGGCTCCAGCCCCTAACCACCCTTGTGGTCTCCATGGGATTTGCTCCAGGTTTTCAACAATTTATGGTGGCCCAAGTATTCCAGATGTGGTTTGACTAGTGCAAAGAGGAATAATATTCTACTGGCTATGACTCCTCTGGGATTTGTGCCTACTCCAGGACTGCAAGTTAATAGATACTCGCCACTATCTATTGCATCAAAGAAGGTCATCAGGTTAGTCAAGCATGAGTTTACTCTTAGGTAAATCCTATGTTATGAAAAAGTTAGGCTGTTCCTAACATCCTCTCTTCCTCCCTGTGCCCAAAATTGGCTTCTAAGAGCAATCTCTCTACGAGGTGAAGCTGACTGGCCTAAAGTGTCCAGACCATCCTTCCTTCCCTTTCTAACCACAGGTGGAGCAGTTACAAAGGGTCCTCTCCTGGCTTCCACAACCATCCCAAGCTAAGAGTGGCCTCACAAGGCCACCTGCCAATGCTCTCAGCACATCTGGACACACATCATCATCATCATCACCACCCATAGACTTCTGTGGGTTGAGAGTTCTCAAAAGACTCCTGCTTCCAGCCTTGCTTCACTACAGGTAGTCCTGTGGCTCTCCTGCCCATCCTCCCTGGTGGGAAAGAGCTCCCTCCTTCCATGGCTGTGTCTCCAGATCACTCAATGCCCCAAGCAGGGCACAACACTCACCAGCTAGGCCAGTGTGACATCAGCAGGGAGGTCACTGTGACCTCCAGCTCCGGTAAGAAGCACCAGGCAGATCCAGCAGCTAGGGACCACAATCCCTCCACACAGGCCAAGCAACTCCTTCCTATACCAGGGCAGCAGCCAGTGTCTCTGGCACCACAGGTCCCACAGCACAGCACCACCACTGTGGCAGAGCTGTCCATGTTTCCATCCTGTCCTGAGTTGCCAGGCCCCCTCATGTCCTCTGCCACATAAATCCCTACAGTAACTTGTGTCTTCTCAACACAATCTGAAATTTCCACTCAGGGTCTTCTCCAGAGGCAAGTTCCACCACTTTAAAAACCTGCTGGTTAATGCAAACATGGAAAGGTTCATTTCTGTACTCACCTGCTCCTGAAATTGCTCTTGTGATAAACAATCAGTCATGTCCACACAGCCCAGGAGGCATCCTGAGGGATAATCACTTGGAAATTCCACATCTGCAGCAAAGAAACATTCTCTTCAGGGAGCCTATATTCCCACACACAGCTGGGGTCTTCCAATCCCCAAATGCCCTTCTGTTGTGGTCACCCCATGACACCTTCCCTCTCCTCCAGGCACCTCTACCTTTTGAGGCACGAGAACACATACAGCCATTTTAACGCTTTTTTTGTGTCTTTTCCAGGTCAGGATCCTCCCCATGAAGGACTAGGGCTGGGAAATTTAATTTTATATATAGCTTTCCCTGCTCAGCAGAGAGGGATTTCAGACATTGCTCATTACGTGGCTCAATGTACCAAATCACTCCAAGAACCAAGGAGAGGAGTTCACCTTTCTGAAGCAGCATTCTGTAGGTGGCCTCCAGTTCAGAGATTTCCTGAGGGGAAGGTCTTTTAGCGGTAGCTGCAATCCATAACCTCCCTCGATGAGATGTGTACCAGGTCCTGCCCTCCACCCTAAAGAACAGAGGAAAATGTAGGACTAAAACTTCAGCAGAAATCACCCACATGGACATATTTTTCATTCAAATATAGTCAATTCCTGCTGCTAAGCTTTGCCCTGGTTATCCCAACTCAAGTAATGTGTCAGGACCACAAGGAAAATCTGAGACAGACAAAAAAAATAGTCACAAATAAAGCAGAGCGTGTCCTCGGGGCTTTAGAGGACAGCAATCCCCAGCAGGGCCAGCAGAACACAATTACAGGACAACCTGCTTACAGGAGTCCCTTACAAGCTCCCAAAGTCACACTGAACAATCAAGGGAACAATGCATGGAACAGTTGTCTGGAGATCCTGGAATTCTGCAGCTGTACCTGAGTGGCTGGAGCACCCCCAGAACACCCAGATGAAGAATCCAGGCACATAAAGATTTACAGCATCTTTAGCTTGGGAAGAGAAAAGGCTTCAGTCTCCAAAATGAGAAATATGAAGGCTAAAAAAGGCTAAAGAAGATTCTTTGTTCACTATTAACAGTAGCAACTTTTTTTTGTAACCCAATTCCCAGCCCAGGGGGGGAAGGCAGGGCAAGGGTTGGGTTTTTTTAAAAAAGGCTGGTGCCACTGTTGCCTTCTTTATGCTGAACAAAAACCCAGAACATATTTCAAGTGATTACCTTATCTGCTTTTCAAATTCCACACAGGAACACCCCAGCTATAGTAATCTCAGTGAAATCTCAGCCTCTCTCTACATTCAACCACTGTGAAGAAACTTGTTCCTTACAGGTTAG